GATTACATTATAGATTGCAATGAAAGGATCAGCACAACACGAAGGATCGTGTAAGTGGTGAATCCTTTGAGCAATTCAGTTTATTCATTAGTTAGTCTCACAATCCTAATTTAGATACAATCTAAATACTACTACWACTACTAAAACAATTCAGTACACGTTATTTCGTGCACCTCCCTCAGTAAAATGCATAACTTTCAATGGGACATCATCGCAGAAATTCTGTGGCATCTCACCCTCAGAACAAAGATGCACTTCTGCCACCGCACCACAGAACAAGACCTCCCAACCAACTGCACACCACCTAATCCAAACCTCAGCACCCTAACTAACTACATAGCAAGTGGTATAATCCACAAAGCCAGCAGCAAACCAACAATGCTCTGCCCCCAAATGTCAAAAAAGAACAAACCAACTCACCAACTTGACCCCCACACCAAGCGCTTGCGCTCAGACTGTCACTCTGAGAAATGCAGTGACAACTGCTGAACAATATCCCACATAAAAGACCTCCTGCCTGCCAAAAAATCATTTCCACTAAAACAAACAATGATTCCCCACCATGGCATCAGCAAGTGCCGTCACAAACTGTGCCGACAATGTGGCGTTTGGCACATGCCTTGGAATTGACCCCACTGATTGCAACCACTACCACTTCTTTGGCTTCTGTAAATCACCCTGTTGCTGCTACAACCATGGCACCAAACACTCTGCAGCAGACAGTGCTACTATGCTCAAAACAGCTTTTGCAGCAGCTGCAAACACCACCCAGGCCCCCGGAGGTAAGTCCTATGCTGTCAACGTAACAGAATAACCCATCACACTCACCTCACACATACGCAACAGCCCCACTGAAACCAAACCTGACCCAACATCCCTGCACCAAGCCACCAAGCCAACACACACTGGACCTCATTGCACACCAAGATGAGTCACCCCCCTTCATTGGACTTGTGTACCCCAGACACCATGTCTATGAACACCCAATGGCACCTCTACTCTGCGCGTGGGCAACCACCAGATGCCTGGTCAACTGCAGCATAGACTGCAACACTGAGGAAATCACATCTGCCACCCAAAGAGGAGCACATCCAAGGGCTAGAGTGCCTGAGGCAGCTGCAGCATACTGCCACATTGTTGACTGTGCCACAATCCAACACAAGAACCATCCAACAAACCTAAAAGTCAGTCCCATTGTTGCAACCTCTCACAAATCTAGAGCCTATAATGATACTGCACCTTTCCCCACCAGGAAACAAGAAACAATTATCCAACTCCTCCACTCTATCTGAAATTCCACCAGAAATGTCAAAAAAACCAATCAAAATCCTCCATGGCAAACTCCAATTTGCAAGTATTGCCCTCCCCTGGGTATGTGCCCTGCTTGGTCCAGCCAACCGCATCCTCTCCCAAGCACAGAAAGCCAAGGCCTCAAAAATTAAGAAAACCAGCGTCATCACCACACTCACAAAACCCCTACCACCCCAGAACAGGTTCATGCCCAGATGGTCAAACTGGTCATCACCACAACGCTCCAATTGGCAGGACAACAAAGCCCGCTGGGACTACTGCAAGAGGCTTACCCTAAAGTCCTTCAGCAACTTCTGGCTGGCTATGAACGCAGCACCAAGCTGCTGCTGCAACCTTGCCTGGCTGTCCCACTTGCCTTCCTGCACTACCTCCTCCAGTTGGACATCAACTCAATGTGCCCAAATACCAAGGCTATTGGCAAAGGGGCAGTAATTGCATTTTTTCCTTCTAAGAGTAGCAGAATACACAGTGCCTGCCACCCAGGCCAGCCACTGCACCAGACTGTTCATTATTGGAGATGTCACAATCTGGCACTACACTACCCGCCGGCTCAACCCAACCCTCTCCCTCCAAACCCTCCTCAACAGATGCACCACAGCAACACTCTGCATCCATAACCAAAAGAATGGAAAAAGGATGGAAAGCTTCCATCACAAACAATGCTGCAGAATCCTGTGCCCCATATAAATGCTCATAAAATGTCTAAAAACACTCCTGGACGCCGGCATGCCCCTCACCACGTCCATCAGTGCATCAGCACATACTGTGCCAGCCCCAACTTGAAAACAGTCCTACTCCAAGTGCTCAATGTCAACTGTACTATACAAAGTGCAGCACAAGCCCTCTGCCTCCAGGACACTGGCATCAAACTGGCCACAGCTTACAATCCAACAGGGCAATGGCTATGTACCTCAACAGTGTCCCTGTGACCAGAATCTGCAAGCCATCATAGGAAAAGTGACACCTTCCTTCTTCTTTACCTCCAGGAACAACTCATGCATTTTTCACATGGCGTCTCCATGCAAATGGCAACTTAGGTTCCATATCACAACATCAGGTTTTCTGACAACCAAGACATCACATTCTCCAAGCCATGGGCATCCACGATTGCCACCAATTGAGAAGTGCTACAACCACAGGCATCATGGCATAGATTACTAAGACCCACACACGGCTTGCTTCCTAAAAGGAGCAAATCCAAGACACGTAAACCATGACCGCCAGCTCAAACATGACCCCACCCCCCAGCAAAACTTGCATCTACAACCCATACCACTGCAATACACCTGGTGGTATTGCCAACCAAGCCCCACCAACCAAGAGCTCCCTCACAATCAGAACGCAGGACCTTTGCAAATGCACAAGCAACTTCACAATCTCCCTCCCTCCATCAATATCATGTCCTGACCAGCCCCAGGAGCTGTCAGGCAAGCCACAATCCTTGTAATCATGCCAAATAGGTCAACAGTGTCAACATGCCAACTCTTGAACCCCAGACCATTACACGTTTTACATGTAGATCTCATCACATCAACCAAATCCTAAATTTGGCAAACACTTTGACACCCCATGTATAATCAAGCAATCTGATTAGCTAATAACAGGTATTCTGATTGAAGATAGGACTAATTATCTGTTTGACTCATTTGATTCAAAAATAAAATTTCATTAGTGGGTGAGGACAGAGCAAGTTACTCCTACTTCACATAGCCTTGTAGCTTCAATTTGTTGAATGACTCCATTTTAGTGATTATCCTAAACTCTAAGAAAACGCCAGATGTCAAACAAAATCCCCTTGCGAACACATGTCAGACACTTCAATGGGATCCACAGTTGGGGTGTTGGCCTCAGTAGGATTAATGCCGGCTTGTTCAGGTGTATTGTGATCATTAAGATCCTTGTTGTTGTGTTGTGCCAGTTGGTATTCTTCCGCAAATTGTTGCTGGAGGTCTGCCGGTGGGGCAATTAGGGATGTATCTGAGGATGTGTCCAATTTATTGTCAGCAGTGGTGATTCCTCAGGGCTTGATTCCAAACATTAGGTGGTCTGGATTGACATTGTTTAGTGATTGTTGCTGGTGGAGTATCGCATTGGAGTGGGAGTAGTGCATACATGTGTTCCGGGAGAGCTCTGCTGTATTGATGACGTGGGGTTTCATTTGGGTTGGTGGTGGGAGGTTGGTGAAAGTGGCTGTGGTGGAGCAAAGTGGCAAGATCCTCCCCAAGCATTACTATTTATCGCTGTCTGGTAATTCAGCTGTATGGATGTTGTTAATGCAGTGGAGGTATGTGTTGTTGTTGTCCGGAGCGTGCATTGGTTTAAAGAAGAATAGGGGACCATCGTAAATGATAGGGGTTGAGGTCTTTGGGAAGACCAGTTCCAGAGTGCAGAGTTTGCATTGAATGTTGCCATTGAATACCATGAGTTCAAGGCGTCGCTCGTGGTCTGGATTTGGCTTTCTTCGTGTGGAGGAGACAAGGTAGTCTTGGATCTGTTGACAAGGTTTGGTTGTCCTCCTGTTTTGTCGTTTCTTGGGTGAATATGAGTGTTGATAGGTGTTATCCTAATCTAAACTGTGTGGTTGAGGTGTGACACCAGGATAGGTGTCAGAGGGTTCTGAAGAGAATGTACCATAGAATTCTATGTGATTTAGTAGTACTGGTTCTCATCATCCAGAATTTTTTGCAAAAAGATCGAGAGCACTCTACGGATGGAGATCAGTTGTAGTAAATCAGTCTACTTTGTTGTTGTTGTTGTTGCTGTTGTTGTTGTTGTTGTCTGATGATGGTTGATGAGTATGAGCTGAGGTAAGTTCTTTGTTGCTCATAACCTGTGAAATGTTAATAGGCTCCTTACTGTACGATAATGAGTGGTTGCTTTACAATAAAGAGTGAGGATTATTCACTAGCTACTCGTGACTGCCGTGTAGTTACTGCCTCACAGTAGAACTAGCAAAAATGACGCATTGGTAATAAAAGAAAAAATGGTTTGATGGATGATCTGTGACTCATGCTTACTGCTCACACACATTCAGCATCGAATGGTTCAAGACATCGACAAGAGTAGAAGCACGCCACGCTGCTTCCTTGCTGCAACACCCTTCTGCCAAAGTAACAGAGTAGCGATCATTTCATAAAACATTCGCGAAGGTACATACTGAAACGCGGTTCCTTTTCGGTACGAGGGAAGCGTATTTTGGAGTGACCAGAAGACAGCGAGACGCAACAACTTCGTTGCTTACTATCAAAATGGCGATGTCTAGAATATTTCCTCTGGTTTTGACCCATCGGCGTCTTCCAACACTCATGGGTACTGGTGCGGTGCTGGCTTCTTCGGGATTCATGATGGTGCATTCTACCACGACAAAAACACAATGCACCGAAACAAATGAACTTCTTTTGAAACCTACCGAGTCTCCTTCGTTGTTGATCCCAACAGCGGAGGCATCTCTTCGAGCGATGCGACTAATAAGCACTGCGTTTCGAATCATTCTGGATTATCAAGTTGCCAAGGTTGAAACTCACATGCCGTTTTCTTCCCTAAACAAAGAAGAATGTGAAATAAAAGAACTGGAGGCCGAAATTGAGAGAAGAGAACTCAAACTAGAGGAGCTTCAGATCGAATACTCTCGTGGAACGGGATCAAACGAGGCGACTCGGAAACTTTCCGTAGAGGAACGAATAGAACTACAGAATAAACAAAAAACGCAGATACAAGAAGCTGCAGCCGAGCTAGCAGCCGTAGAGGAGAAATGGATGACGAGAGAAGATCTTTCGAGCAAGAGCCGCCTCAATCGAAAATCTGCGGAACGCTTGCTCAATCTTTGTCGCGAGAACGGCGGAGTTTACATCAAGGTGGGCCAACACCTGGCGAATCTAGACTATCTTATCCCCCGCGAATACATCGAAGTCCTCTCCTCTCTTTTCAACGATGCACCCCAATCGGACATAAACGATGTCTATAGTGTCATTGAAGAAGACCTTGGTCACAAAGCCGAAGACCTATTCGATGATTTTGACCCGATACCAATCGCTTCTGCATCGCTTGCACAAGTCCATGTTGCCTACTGTAAGAAAACTAAAAAGAAACTAGCCGTCAAAGTTCAGCACAGAGGTCTGCGAGAGACCTCGGCGGGCGATTTGTTTGCCGTGACAAGGGTGGTTCGCGCGATCGATTCTTTGTTCACTGATTTTACGTTTGGCTGGATCGCAGACGAAATGGCTCCGCTGCTCCCTAAAGAACTGGATTTTCAGCGAGAAGGCAGAAATTCCGAGCAGGCCGCTGCCGATGTTCGGAAAAGCGGCCTAGCGTGTTGCATTCCAAAAGTCGTGTGGGAAAGGACGTCACCGCGTGTGTTGACCATGGAATTTGAAGAGGGGTTCAAGTCCACTGATATAGAAGCACTTAAAGACTCTGGATTGAACAAGAGGTGAGTTCAATGAGAGTTTTCCCAAACATTGAGAAATACTCGACCAAGGCGACGGCTTTCTCGTCTATTATCTCTATTGATCAAACACACATTTTCTCGTCTATTATCTCTTATCATCGCACACATACAAATAAACACACGCTCTCTCTTCTCTCTCTCTCTCCCTTTCTGTCATATTCACCACTCTTCCACCCAGCGATGTCGCCAAATTAGTCTCTTCTGTCTTCAACTCACAGGTCTTTCACTCGGGCTTTGTGCACTGCGACCCCCATCCCGGAAATTGTCTCATTCGCCGATCGAAGAACGGAAGGCCCGAAATGGTTCTGGTAGACCACGGCCTTTACAAGCGTCTCGACGACGACTTTCGGATAAAATACGCCGAGCTATGGAGGTCCCTGATGATGGCCGATCTGGAAGGGATCAAGAGCGCCTGCTCTGGGATGGGGGTGAACAAGATGTACCCGCTCTTTGCCGCAATGCTTACGGCGCGGCCGTACGACGAGATCATCGAGCGGTCCAAGACGGGGTCGCTCTCAGCCCGCACACACGGCGGATCGTCCCACGAGGTGGGGAGCCAGGCGGATCGCGCCGTTATTCGGGGCTATGCCAAGCAGTTCCTTGGAGAAATCTTTTCGCTGCTCGGGGTTCTTCCGCCGCAGATGCTGCTGCTGCTAAAGATGAACGATTGCCTCCGCCACATCGACATGACCCTCGAATCTCCCACAAACACGCTGGTGATTGCCGGAAAGTATGCTGCAAGTGCGGTGTACAGGGAACAGATGCGGAGAACGAGCAGCAGCAACAACGAGTTTTCGCTGGCGAAACGGTCGATTCTGAGGTTTCGGTACTGGCTGGAGTACACGAAGGTAATGTTTCGAATCCAAATTCACGATGTTGGTGCCTGGATACTATCTAAATATTACAGCTGTTTGAATTATTAGTTTGTTCCTCGAAGCAAAGCATCTACTTATCCAACAGAAACCGACATCATTTCTAGTTCGTAAAAAGTTGCTTCGTGGAAATACGACAATGGTGTATTCTATTCCATTACAAGTGGAAATCGCCAGTGTCTCGTCTCTTTTGCTTGATGGCCTTGTATTGCGCCTGGATTCTCCGCCTCATCAGCTCCATGGCATCCTTTTCCCCCTCGATCTGGTGGTCCGTCATGCCCTTTGTCTTTGACAACGATGCCATAGACGTCGCTGTTTTCGGCTTTTTGGACTTTGCTCCCCGAGGAATCTGCCGGAAAATAGGTGGGCGCTCGGCTTGTTCATTGAAACGCACGGGGGCTTCCGGCTCTTGGTTTGCCTTAATTGCAGTCCTGGTGCTCCGCCGTTTATCGTAATCGACTTCGTCGTCGTAATAGGCTGCTCCTCCCTTTCTCTTTTTGTTCTTTTTGTTTTTCAGAAATTCCTTCTTTTTCTGCAGCTTCTCGAGATTTCGGACCGTCGTGGTGGACTGCTTGATGATCTCTCTCGTTTCGGCCCGGGTCCGCTTGGCGTAGGCCCTTTTGCTCTCCCCCTCCATTCGTCCCTGGGTCTGTTGCTTTTCGAGCTTGGATTTCTGTTCCATCTGCTCCTCGACCCGAAGGAGGCGCTCGATTTTCTTTTCGTCCTGGTCGGTCTTTGGAATGTTCGCGACATTTCCCGACGAGGTCACTATGGTGTCGTAAGATTCGTCTGCTGTTTTGTTATTTTTTGGTTCTGTCTTGTCATTGGACACCGAGGATGATGCACCAAGGAAGGAGCTGGTCGTTGTCGCCAGCGAAGAAGAGGAATCCCCGAGAAGCTCCTCGTTCGTTTTCATAGATTTTTTCTTGATGCTGCCCACCAGATCTGCCATGGTGAACTCATCTTCCTCGTCGGGTGGCACGTCAAAGCCATCGTCGTCAAAGCCGCCCGTTCCCTTCTTCTTGCTGCTATTTCGGTGTTTCTTGGCGTGGAGCTTCTGGGCCTTGAGGCTCCGCTTCTTTTTCTTCCGCCCGTTGTCTCCGAGGCCCCAGACCCCAACGGCGCTCAGATCTACGTTTCCCCTGTTTTTCTTCGAGTACGGGTCGAAGGACTTGACCTTTTTGTATTTCGCAACACGCCCCATGATATAGTATTGTTTGTTGTTCTTGCCTCGCAACTATGGAATGCTGTTGGAGTGCCGTTCCGTATTTAAGGCACTCGGTCCACAACTTTTTGGAAGAAGCCGTTCTCGCGACGTATGATGTCCGAAAAAGGTGTTCTTGAATATTTTATTGATCTAGAGAACACGCCGGTGGATCACGATGCTCGGTGTCTGAGTTGGGTTTGAAGTCTTTGTCTTCGCATTCTGGGTTTGCCTTCCTTTCTTTTTCTGTCGATTTACTTTTTCGTCTGCTATTTTCTTCCCTTTCGTCGTATTTTTAGGACGCGAGAAACGAGAAACGAGAGCGATCGGTGGTTGCTAGGTGAGGACGCGCGAGCCATTTGGTCCGACTGGTCGAATTTTCGATAAGAAATGGGTCGGGGTGAATTCGTAATTCGTACGAGTACGTACGAGTACGAGTACGAACTTGTTCCGCAAAACAAAACTCGAGAAGCAAAAACGTGATAGAACATACCGTTACAGCAAACGGACAGAATTGCTTGCCGTAACCATCGGATGAAAATCAAAAGTACGAAGTAGAAGTAGTAATTGGCAGGCACCGGCACGAATTGCAACTCGTTCATTTGAATAGCAATACCATTTCTCTGCTCGTTTGAGTCGGGATCCAAAAATGACGACAACTACGAGCAAAAGAAACGGACACGGAAAAGGGAATGAGAAGAAGCAGAACCAGAAGCAGAGTACTACAAACCCTGCGATCAAGCGCAAACCCTTCCGTCCCAACTACGACTACGAAGTCGACTACAACGACCACTTCGAAACTCCTCTCAATGCCTACACCGATATTCTGCCGCTCCTCGATTCCCTCGAAACGGCAACGAAGAGCGACGGTGCCGCCCGGTGTTGTCCTCGTCCCCGAAGTGAACACGTCTTGTACGATCCCTACTATTGCAACGGGAGCACCAAGGGCCTCCTCGAGGGGCTCGGATTCGACAAGGTGGTGCACAAGAAACGGGATTTCTACAGGGACATTAGGGAGGGAAGAGTTCCGGATCACCACACTCTTGTGACCAACCCGCCCTACTCGGACGACCACAAGGAACGGTGCCTCCAATTCTGCACGAAGCAGTTCCGGGAGAAGAAGACGGCCTTCTTCTTGCTCATTCCGAGCTACGTGGCCGCCCGCAGCTACTACCGGAGGATCCTGGGGGACAACGTCCGAGACGTGGCCTACCTGGTCCCGCACCGCGAATACTCCTACTCGCACCCGGAGGGTACCGGACACGAAGAATCTCCTTTTTCCTCGCTCTGGTTTTGCTGCATCGGTCGGGAACGGATACGGGAATGGACGGAGCGGCACCAGAATGGATCCGGCGTTGGCGATGCGCACTACCGAACCAGCAATGCCGACCATCGAAAAGGACGCCCGAGATTCGTCGCGTCTTTCGACGAATTGGTGTCCCTCGGTGTTATTACGTTGCAGAATCGTCCCAATCCGAGACAGCGAAAGAAAATGCGAAAACTGGCGGCGCAGGGCCCCGGCGAAGATGGTGCGGGGAACGGAGACGGCGCGGAGCAACGAGCAAAACCACAAACCAAGAACAAGAAGAAGTGGACGCCTGCTACAAAAGAGTCGGTCAAAGGGAAGAAACGAAGCAACGCAAAAAGCAAGTATCGCACCACGGACGGAAAGAGAACGAAAAAGCGGTTTTGAGAGTACGTAGTGTGTGCGCGCTTACGTACATAAAGCGATATCGCATTACTTCTGTGGCGGGATGCAAAAAACTAAGGATTAACGCCTCCTCGATTTCGGCAGTTTCTTTTTCTTTGAGTCCTCGACATCGCTTTGCTGATAGTAATGCGGAGCGATTTCTATCAGCCACGATGGATCGATCGGGGCCACCTGCCTCATGAATTCTTTGGTAGTGAATGCCAGCTCAAAATACACTAGCCACGATGGCGGCTGTTCTTCCTTGGCAAGAACGCTACTGGGATGGATATATACCGTTCGTTGTTGCTTGACGGTCTGGTACTCTCCCGTCCTCCCCAGCTTTGCTACGTTGTAGAAGAACCCCGAGGTTATAGCCTTCAGCAATGCATCGTTATCGTCGGGCTTCGAGATGCTCTGATCGATCTCGACCCGCTCGCAGAGACCTTCCAACTGCTCCCGAATGTCACGGGCCCGGCGTATGCTTCGCACCTGAACAAAGTTTTCGAAGCACCAACCGTCGCTGTAATCCGTAGAGGCCCAATCTCTGTAGCAACGCAACAATGTAGCGTGGTCGCCGCCACCGCCCCTGGCAAAATTCATTCGCGCCGTGTCGGCCATGATTTTCTTCTCCTTGGGGCGATAAAAGACCGAGGCTCCTAGGGAAAGCATCGCCACCGTGGACAATACCTCGGAGACACACTTGTACTCTTCGGAGCAGATCACCGCCTTGCTCAGCATTGGTTCCAGTGGGAATTCTGCCATTCGCCTCCCGAGCTTTGTCAGCTCGCCTAAATCGTTCAAGGCTCCCAAAGCATACAGCTGTTCCAGCGCTCGGATCAGAGCATCGGCAGGAGCTAAACAAGTGATACGGTGAAAGGGACAATGTCATGAGGAGATTGAAACGAGCCAAAGCACAATACGTCAGAAAAAAGAATGCAACAAAGAGGAACACTTAGCATGCAACGATAGAATATCAATGCAACAAAGCATTGCAGCAGATGTATGCAACTTACGTTTGTCCATAAAATCGAAGTGTATCAAATCGTTGATTCCAAGACTTTTCAGCATGAGCACTACGTTGCCTAGGTTGGTCCTCAAGATTTCCGGCACCGTATTGGGCTCGAGTTCGTGCTGAAACGACCAAGCTGTGAACAATCGAAAGCATTTTCCAGGTTGTGTTCTTCCCGCCCGCCCGGCACGTTGATTTGCCGCGGCTTGGGAGACGGGCGTGACGACGAGGGATTCCATGCCGGACCGGGCATTGAACGATTTCTGCTTGTTGAAACCAGTATCGATGACATAGCATATGCCATCGATTGTGAGGGAAGTTTCGGCAATGTTTGTAGCTAGGACCACCTTCCGAGCTCGCTTTGGTGTTTTTTCGAATATCTTGGCTTGTTGTTCAGAAGGTAGATTTGCGTAAACCGGACATATCATGAGCTCATTGATTCGAGAGCCTAGATTTTTTGTTCGTTGCGTTAGAATTTCGGCTGCTGTTTCGATTTCTTCCTGACCCGTCAGAAAGACAAGAATGTCACCCCCGAGAGGCTGGGAGACATGGATTTGCAATACCGTCACAACCGCAGCGTCGACATAATCTGCTTCCGGCGATTTCGTGTAAAAAATATCCACCGGAAACATTCTCCCTGGAATCATAAAAATACTAGCATCGTCGAAATACTTCGAAAATTTTTCTGCATCCATGGTCGCACTAGAAATGATCAATTTCAAGTCGGTCCGGAAGCGAACGATATCTTTCACGAGTCCAAAGAGAATGTCGCTGTGCAAGGTCCGTTCGTGAGCCTCGTCAATTATCATACACGAGTAACTTGCTAGGTCTGGCTCTGTCAGAATTTCTCGCAGCAGCATTCCATCCGTCATGTACTGAATTTTGGTAGCTTCGCTGGTGCAATTTTCGAACCGAATGGAGTAACCAACTTCCTTTCCCAGCTTCACGTTCATTTCTTGCGATACTCGAGCAGCCACACTCATGGCAGCAACCCGTCGTGGTTGAGTACATCCAATCTTTCCCAATTCGGAATATCCAATTTCGTGAAGGTACTGGGGAATCTGCGTTGTTTTCCCCGATCCCGTTTCTCCCACMAGCACAAGAATCTGGTGATCCTTTACAGCCGCTAAAAATTCTTCCCTATACGGGAAGACAGGGAGTTTCTTTCTCCCCGCCAAAATTTTCTCGTGCTCAGTAATAGGTTTGATCTCGAGAGATTCTTCGGAATCTCCTTCACTGCTGACCTCCTGTTTGACCTTTTCTTTTCCCTTAGCTCGATTTCTTTTCCCTCGCTTATCGTAACCTTTGGTGGTCTCTTGCATTACGAAATCAATCTGATCCTCGAAGACAAGTTCATATTCTTTTTCTTTTCCCTGTGATCGCTTCTTCTTGTGTGTGATTTCCGCCTTTCTTGTTTGGGACTCTTCCCATAGTTCCTGTTCCGATTTGTCTCTCTTATCTTCAGTGTATCGCGAGCTTAAACGCGCTTGGTCTTGAGATTCTTTGGTATCCTTTTCGTCGTATTCATCGGGCAAACGGTAAAATCCGTCGTCCTGATGGTCTTCGTCTTGATTTTCGTTCTTTTCGACCATTTTGATAATTTGTCTCGACACTTCGATTCGTGTCTTTTCCGCCTTCGATAGTTTTTGGTTCCGAAAAAGTTCTTCTTCGTCCTCTAGCGACTGCTTCAACAATGTGACCTCTCGCTCTTGCCGTTTCTTTAGATAGACTCTTCGACTCTCCGTCCGCAGTCGATCGAGAGTCATTTCCTCCCCGTCATCTGCCACTACGGTCTCCCCCCGAGCCAATCGATCTTCTATTTCGATTCGCGCTCTCAGCGCCTCTTTGCTTTCGTCATCGGCTTCCTGTTTGACCATCTTTTGTTTTGTTTTTTGTTGGTCCCGATCCAGCATTCGCTGGACAAATTCGTCTCGTTCCCGTTTGTCCTTTTCTCGCTCTAGCTTGGCCCGTTCCTCTGGGTTCAGGGCATCAGTTTCGGTGCCAACTTCCGAACCCTTCTCATTGATTTCACTCTCTTGTTTTTCCTTCTCCCGTCGCCTTTTTCGCCGACGATCTTCAATGGATTGTTCCCGAACAGCACCGCGCGATCGTTTAATGTCGTAGTTTTCTAGACTCGAGTCATCTTCGTCGTCTTTGTCATACAACCGGTACCTCTTCTTTTTTTCCTTTAGTCGATCCCGTTTCGATTCTCGAGTTAAAGCCATGGTACTGGAGGACAACTTCTTCTTATTCTTTCGTTCTTCTCGTTGCCGCCCGCCATTGTCGTCTATCTCGGTGTTGTCGTCGTCTTCCAATAAGGAATAATCTTTTGCTTTGTCGACCCATTGAGCATTGGTCATGGAAGAAGACGACTTGGAACCACCACCACCACCGCTTCCACCGCTGCTCCCTCGAAATTTTTGGTAGAGACCCCTGCAAAAGGATTGCTGGGCCTCCTCTGTTTTCGCCTTTACGTCACCTTCTCGCAAAACGCGTTCGATTTCGCTCGCCGACTTGGCCTTGGAAGCGATGTGCACAAGGTACGAAGCCAACGCAGAGTCTGCAAATCCCAGCAAATTGTGAAGGTTGTCTTCGCACCATTGCTGCAGTTGAGCCTTATTGGAGGAAGATGGCTTTCCCATGACGTTGACTACGTTCGGTGAAATATTTGACGTTAACATTAATGATGTGATTTGCACTGTTGATCGTTGGGCGTTCAGTTGTGATCGATTTTTGTGAATGATGTTTTCTTAGTATTGGAAATGACGGACAGACGGAAAACGCTAACCAGACAAAACAGCATCCTCGGAAATTGCGACACCTGCATATTCTGCACCTCAATGAGCCTTGGCCTCATTCTTGACAGTATTGTGGTGAAGGACTGCCATGGTAGGATGAGACATGATGTGAAAGAGGAAAGATCCACTCCCTTCCCTGCTCTTTTACACAGCAGACAAACCCGTTGGAAAACAGTAGTAGTAGTAGTACTGTGACGTAGTACTACTAGTAGTAGCTAGTAGTAATACTACTAGTACTACTACTACTACTAGTAGTAGTAGTAGTAGTAGTAGTAGTACTACTACTACTAGTACTACTACTACTACTAGGTCAACAGAATACGCCAACCCTCCTTTAACCCCAGACTATTACACATTTTACATGTAGATCTAATCACATTAGTAGTCAAATCCCAATTTCAGCAAACACTCATGTAGTAGTTGTAATAACTGACCACTTAGATCCATACAATAGTAGACTACTACTAAGGTACAAACATAATGTGCCATAGTACTTCTAAAGAGGCCCACCAGAATGTCTGGTGGCACCAGTCAAAGAGCAATAACGGAAGAAGGAAAGACAAGGCTACAATAGCTCAGGCTAAGAGCAGGTAGGAACAACTGTGGTTAGCTCTTACAACTATACCCACAACTGTACCATAGCATCTGCAATAACAAGAGTTACTGTACATTCTTGCATCAAACAGAATCCAGTGCTGGTATGGTACAGTATGCTGATATCTGTGGCACAGCTGTTCAAAAAGCCCATATAGAGTAAGGGATAATACCAATATTTGGTAAGAATCAAGCGATATGATTGTCTAATTTTTTGAATTACTGATTTGATTTACTAGTATTAGATTTCATACTAAAGGAGTGGAGAAAAGCAGATTTGGGTTTTGACTACTACTGTAGTAGTTACTACTAAAATGGAACAAGTACAGTACAAGGGGCTCAGTTGTGAGTCCCCAGGACTGAACTTGTTTGAGTAAACATGTAATACAATCTTGACCTTCATTCTTGATGTTGCTGGGAAGTCTGATGTTGTCCTGTTTTTTGTTTCCATTTCATTTAGTGTTTCATCCATGTTGTCCTTTCAGCCATCATTGAGGCTACTATTGTTATCCTCATCAATTGTTGCTGGGAACTCTGGTGGGTGCTCTTTGTCACCCATCCCATATTTTGTAGTCTCCTTTTGATGAACCAAAGTCCTTTCATGAGCAACCATTGTCTCTCTCAAAAATGTGGTTGTAGAAAATTCTGAATGACTTGTCTGGTGCTTAGCCCTGCCAAAGTTGCTGGTCCCTCCAATGGTTCTGTGCTCCAGGTGTTACCAGTGAGTCCATACTTAGCTTGAGTGTAGCCTTGTTGACACAGGTTCATTTGGTCTTGCAGTTGAAGTTGAAAAATTGTATGTCCTGTTTCTAACCAAACCCTGGGCTTTGTATTAGTGTTTCCCACATGATTGTCCCTTTGCCATCAGATGCCTTTTTAAGTCCACCCGATTCATATTTTGCATGCTTTTGTCTACCCAGGATTTTCTCTTGATTTTACCTGCAAAGGAATTCCACATACCAAAGACATTGTAGAAATGAAGGCAAAAGAATTGCTTTTGCATTTACCTAGATTATTATGGTAGCGTGTCACACTGAACAAGCCTTTTGTGTCTTGATTCTTTATCTTGATTTGGGGGCATAGTTGATCCGCTGTTTGGGGGAATGCAAACCACAGGATTTATCAACTTTTATAGCTATCACCAACAATAAACTTTATTAATAGTATAAAATAACTTTTGAAAGATTATTAATATCATATTAGTGAATTTTAGTATTGGGCTTGATTGAAGTGCAGCAGAGTAGCTACTACAGCTACTAACTATTCTACTATGGCAACTACTATGACAACCACAATGACTACAAATACTAGTACTACTAAGACTGCTTGTGTTGAAGTTCAACCTGCTATAAAGTTAATTAATACAATTAAAATAGTAAATTATCACTTTTAATCATATTAATTAATACAATTAATAAAGTTTTTAAATAGCCATAATACTTTTAACTCACTGACAATTAACTTTATTTTTGGCTAATCCCCAAAAACAGAAATTTTGAATGCCCCTTTTCAGAGACCACACTGAGTAGGAAACTGCTGTTAAAATAACAACCCTTTCTTACCATTAAGTCTACAATAAGTGCACATAAATATTGAAAAACATGCAATCAGGGGCTCTCCTGGTGGTAATAAGATGCACATCTACTTGTACGCTATGCTGTGCAATTGCTGTTAAAATATATTTGGTTAGTTCTTGCTTGATTACAAGTGGAAGCACAGATAATTAGCAATATATATATATATATATATATATATATATATATATATATATGGATTTTTAATACATATGTCAGTGCACCCAATGAGATGTTAGACTACCTTATAATTTTATAGCTCCTGAATTACATGCCTAATGGATAAGTATTTTACACGCTTGCACACGTTTTTATTCATTCTACCTCCTGCACATTCCATGAATCATGGTTGAAATCTTCAGACGAAAGACACTGTTCTACGGGCCGCTGTGCGGTAAAATGTACGTTGATACAACCATAACAACAACACATCATTTTCGAGACAGACACAAGTTACATCCCGTCTGATTATACCACGTGTCCTTTCCAATTCGGCATTCCAGTTGCAAGGAACACAATGATAGGAGTTCCTTCGCGTCTCTCATGGCAGAAATAGAAGCAAAAATAACCACAGAGATCGGAAGTGACCGGCAAAGTTGTCCATGAAAGAAGAATTGGTTCAACCTAATATTGTTCATGCCTGTTTTCTTTTCTGACTAAAGAATAGGGTTTAACTCTAAGCTTGAAGTACCTTCGCTGAAGTCAGAAAGAGCAAGCTCGTTTCGTTGTTGACGAGCACGACAAAAGTAATACGTCAATCCCACAATCATGAAGATAACTCCAACTCCAACCGTCGTGACTACACCCTCGTTTGAGTCAAGCGTCCCTTTTGTATTCAACATGTCAATGGCAAAGAAATAGCTGAGTAACAGCTCAACAAAATCAAAGAGCCCGTGCAAAAGGATGGCAGGAAAAAGAATTCGGCCCAGCGAAGATGAAGGATCGCCTTGGATGTCGCGTTTCACGACACCAAGAGATTGGATTGCAGCACAAACTGGGTGCACGGCTAGGATAGAACGCAAGACGAGAGTCAATATTTCGTCTCTCACGTTTTTAGATTGGAATACGTATTGCATATTTTCCTTGCAAGCGAATCCCAAAGCAGCTGATACCATGCCGATAGTGATGTAATTTGCTTGGCTCAATTTTGATTTCTGCCTATCACCAACTTGCTCCGGTGTTTCTAGTGTCCAATAGCAATAGTACTTGACAATCTCTTCAACTAATGCCGCAATGACAAATGCCAAGACAAACATAAAGATAGCATTCAATCCCCAGTAGTCTTTCATCATCTGTGCAGTATTCTTGCCATCACTGAAATACGTCAAATACGTCGCAGGAGCGACCGTATCCTGCCCCACTTCGCCCCTAATCTCTATGGCGATTCCAATTGCCATGAAAGCCGCGTATGGAATAAAAATAATCGTTTCAACAATCAAGGCTTGAAACATCCCAATAAGGTACCCAGACGCAAAGTACTTGATCACAGCATCCAAAGAAATATCGAACCGGTTCCACCTCCACCATACAAAGTACAAGACGACGCAAGGCTGTGCCCAAACGCCCAAGGCCACCCCGATCTTGATTCCGTAGTGCTCCTGAGATACAATGAAGAGTGCACAATATAAGAGTACAATAAAGGCCGCGTAGCGTAGAATCCTTTTGGAGAGGTCCGACAAAGCCAACCGGTGTTTGGCAAATGACCCCTCTCTTGAATTCTGTAGGTCGCGGATCGCTGGAAAGTACTCGGAATAAGGCTGGAATGTAATGTAGTCGATGTGAAGTGCAGCTGAATTGCCGTCTTTTTCCAGGATGAGCTCGAGTTCCCTGTCTTCCTGTCCGATGGCACACATTCCGCAGCACTGGCACCAACACTGGCACAAAGCGCCACAGCAGAAACTGCTCCAGGCCCGGAACAAGCACGTGGAAAGATCGGGGGACGCCATTCCTTTGGAACCTCGCGAGTCATCTGCATCGTCTGGATCATCTCCTTCGTTCACCGAAAGCACCACGTCATAGGGGTAACACGAGCAGCAGCCCAAGGGTTTTCGGTTGGTGGAGATATCCGTAGGCGTTTGCTGCTCTTCCGAACCACCAAGTTGCTGGTCTCTCATTTTTTGGTGGACGGCTTGGCGCAGGACTCCGTGGTTTTTGCCTCCCAAACAGCACAAGAAAATAAGATAGCCCACAAAAAAGAGTTCGAGGAAGAATACGATTAGACCTCCCGATGTGCAATTATCGTCGAAGTCGTCACACGTGGACACCATTCCCGAGATGGCAATAGTAATTAGGATCAACAGCGGAATTCGAATGTGAGTAGTACGCCGTCGCTTCMAGTTGGGACGATTCCCTGTTACAAGATAGTTTGTTCTATCATACAAGAATATCCCGCAACAAGTCAATGCGCAGCAATTGCTCTTCCGATTGGGATCATCGAGCAAAGCGCCTATGGAAGTCGACCATCCTCCACGGTACTCGCGACGGCTGTTAAGGGAATGGTGTTGATGTCTCATGTTGTATTAGTTCTCGTGATCGTAAAGTGACAGCATGTGGGTACAAGTAGTTGGAAATGATTCAAAACAATGAAATGAATGGTTCGTTTCCTTCCCTTGCAATTGCTGTGCGGTGTGACTTCGAAAGATACGGAATCGAGTTAAGCGTTGAACAATTTATTCGTTCTTGGTCTGTTTCTTTCAACAACTCTTCCCGATTCTTCCCGATCTTCCGGTAGGGTACCAGTACTTGACTCTTACGCGGTGAAAAACATTTCCGAAATGTAACGTACTGTAACGCACTGAATGGTATTCGTACGTACGTACAATAGTATCCATTTTCACGAAAGCTGATGTATCGATTGGTGCGTAGTGGTAGTACAGTATGGTACTCGTACCACCGCAAAACAGAACCCTTGTGTTGCGTTGCCACACGACTCGAATACTTAATAAGACAGTTGAAGTACGAAGTAGTACGATATTGATTGTTGAACTACGAAACGGGATCGAAAACAATGGGTAAGTCATAAGCCCACATAGAAAGAGCACTAAGAATTGCTCATTTCCTTCAAGAAATGATTTTTAAGCAGGACTGAGTATGTGATAAGAATAAAGCAGCTCATCCGGATCTCTTTTGATAGTACGTTAAAACCCCGAATATATGACACGTACGAGGGATCAAGCACGAACAAAAAGTCAATACGGCAACCATGTTGGTAACGTACGTACTACCAGTAGGAACGCAAATGTCTGTGTGACAGGTCCGGAATCAGTACAAATTGTACACGGCTCTACGGAGAGAATTATACACTTCATTTGCGTTCGGAACATGAATCTGTCTCACTTTAAAAAAAAACATCAAGTATTTTCATATCGAAATATTTGGTAGTACTAATTTGTACGTAGGATTCTACACACCTTTGGGATACTGAGGGCTCTTAAGAAAAAAACACTTGGCCGATCATTCTAAGAATTCCGGATCCCCTTCTTCGAATTATAATGAAGTTATTCCAGCACATGTGTGGAGTGGAAGTGTCCCTAATAGCTCTGTCTGGAGGGTGTGACAACCCTCATGCTGGTGTTTTTTTTTTACTAGAAAAACTGTGCGTTTTTTTTGGAATTATAACCTGTCACATATTCGGTCCAAACATTTGCGTTCGTACTGGTACTCGACTGGTACTAATACACAAAAAAATATCAAATGAAATATTTACCCTGCAGATATCAGTACATAATCGGTCTTGTAAGACAGTGCGTGGCAAGATTGGACTGGTAGATTATGGTGATGATTGATCAGATTTACTCATACAATCACGCACAACAAGTAGAATCCCTTCATCCAGTTATTCATTTCCAGAGTGAGATTGGATGGCATCACATGTTTGCTGGCCATGTTTCACTCCAATGGTTTACTGGCCTTGACCTTCATTCCAGCTCTCACTCCCCACTTGTGCTGGGGGGCTATCTAGTGGAATTCTTTCTTATTATTTATATTTCATTGTGGGAGCAGCAAAATAACCTTCATGGCCACACCCTTTCTCAGAAGCAAGCACAGCCTTGACCACGGGCAGTCATGAAAGTCTGCACTCTGTTTGTACTGAAAGCACAGAATTGTCCATCTCACGTCCACTTATTCCCAGCAGAAGATATGGAGACATTCATAGCTACTACTTCTACTTCCATGCTCAAATATTACAACGGGGTCGACAAAAAGACTATTCTTGCAAGTGTCAGCAAGGCCTCACTCGCATTGACCTCCAACACACGCCCTCTTACTCAGTACTTCCCATCTTTACCCCATAGTAAACAACCACCAGAGAGTGTCACACAAGCTTTCCTGATCTTTGATGCCTACTCCAAAAAGAAGCATGACAAACAAACTGCAGTGCCAGACACTTCTTTGGCTCCTCCTCTTGTCACTCCTTCCTGTTCACTCCAAACCAAGTTAACTCAATTCTTCTAAACTCCTCAGAGGGAAGTACTGCCCCTCAGAGCAGCTACTAGAAGCATACTTTACACTCAAAGCTACTATGGTTCTGGCCATATCATGCCTCTTCTAGTTCACAAGGTTAAATATAAAATATTAAGATTATTCAATAGGGGTGCCAACTGCCTGGATTGTCAACATCATTCCAATCTCCAGGTTCTCCTTTGACAACCTTTGGATCCTTCATTTCATAGCCTACTAGAAGAACCTTGGGAAAGTGATGACTGCTATCAACAATTGTTCCATAGTTCCAATAAATGAATTCAGTTTTGTGAGGCTCAACAGCGTCATCCCAGTTCCAAGTCGTCTGGTTCTGTGTGATTACATAGAAGAACTGAGCTTGTGCTGCATCCTTGTGGTGGTGAGCACTCCTCTATGTCTGACAATTGACAAGGAGTTGCCTAGTTGGTAGCAACATCATGAAGGAGCAGTATTGGTGCAGCATTGGAAGGAAATTAAGTTAGATACTATGTTGATTGAGAATATATTTTGGAAGCATCAATTGTCATCATGACAAAAATTCCATAGAAAATACAGTGTAGTTGGACAAAATGTCATGAGGATGTGTATTGGTGCGCCAGACATATTTTACTTGTGAAAAAGATGGCCCAAAATTGACAACTGCATTGTACATTTCTCAGCCAAGTCTATACAATGAGAAGGCACCAATATCCTATTTCATGCCAAAGAAGCTGCACAAATGGACTGTTATTGCTGATGTTGGCAATGGAAATCCTACCAAGTCCCAGCAAGTGAATGATTTGACTTCTGCTGAAATTAAAAAGGAAACACAAGACCTTTGACAAGCAATTATGATGGATCAGCCTCTTACTTAGGATGAGTTATACTTATACAATCACCCACAACAAGTAAGGCAACGTATTTCTCTTGGGAAACTGTGCACATATCTAGCCATTCAGTAAGACAGTTAGCAAGAGTGTCAGAGGCAATTGGCCTGAAGCCAAGGGTGAGAATCTGTTGTCACAGAGAGGCAATGGTCTGTTGTTGCCAGCTGAGGCATGACTGATGAGAATATCTAAAGAGATGCTCAGAATCTTCAGGCAATGGGCAAAGACAACAAGAAGTGTCATGTGTTTGGTAGTTCCACTTTTTGATGGTGATGACAGTGGGCAGAATGTGATTGCAACATGTGGTGACCAGAACATTCCTGGAGATGCAATTGATGGCAATGCTCAGGGACTTCCAGGCAATATCAGTGAGGACCCATGGTGACCATTGGTTCCTGTCTGCCAAATATGAATGATATTGGGGAATCAAACAAGAGTCATTGAGGGCTCTCTGTTATATTGGCTTGTTACGGAGCAAGATTGGATCTGAAGGACCACTGGGCATGATGGTAAAACAGGGGTGAGGAAATTGGGTGGTGTCATCCAAGCTTGAAAGGTACCAGCATAACTATCAGCTTCAATGTTCAACTGAACTATCAAAGGAAGTTTGTCAAAAGCTGCTGTATTGTCTTTGTGACCTTTGACCCAAGAAAAGGAGGGGGTGATTGATGGAGACTGGATGGTTTGAAAAATCTGTTTAATCAATGCTCAGGGACTTCCAGGCAATATCAGTGAGGACGCATATTGACCACTGGTTCCTGTCTGCTAGGTATACATGATATTGGGGGATCAAACAAGAGTCCATGAGAGCTCTCTTTTATTGGCTGGTCACTGAGTGAGATTTTATCTGAAGGACCCCTGAGAATGATGATAAAACTGGGGTGATGAAAATTGGTGTTGTCATCTGAGTTTGAAAGGCGCCAGCATGACTGTCAGCTTCAACATTCAGCTGAGCCATCAGAGGAAGTTGATCCAAATCAGTGGTGTCATCTTGGTGGCCTTTCAGCTAAGAAAAAGAGAAAGTGATGGATTCTGAATGGTTTGAAAGATCTGTTCAATCAAGTCAAAGTCTGGTGCCATAGTAGCATTTGAATACACTTCTGGATTGGATTCTAGTGATGAGCGCCTTGCTGTCACTGTTAAAAGTAATATGTTTTGGGCAAGGTGTTGTGGTGCCAGATGTAGATGAACTGGATGTCGTACTTGCATCAGAAGAGGCTGGAGAGGAAGCATGGCAATGATTTGTGCTGAAGGTGCAAATCATTCAGTTCCCTGATTAAATTTTGAAAATTAGAGTTTTTCTGCAAATCTGGGAGGGCAGTGGGGATAGGCATGGAAGATTGTTCTCATCAAGTGGAGAAGTTAAATTTATCTCTGCATGAGATCCATCCAAAAATAATGTGTCTGTGGTGGACAAGTTATTTTCTGAGGCATTTGCATGTGCACTGGTCTCAGTACTGGTCACCATAGGAAAAGCAGTAGAAGCTGTCAGAGCTGTAAGTACTGGTCTTGTGGTTCTGTTGGTGAAGGTACAAAACAAGCAGAGTGACAAACAGGATAGCTGATAACAAGCCAGTGGCCTCAGTGCAAAGAGAACTTTCAATGCCATAGCATGGGCCATTTATGTGAGCAATTCTATCCCCAGCTGTGGTAGCCAGAGACCATCCAAAGGACATGCAGCCGTCCTTACCAGATCCACCTGAGACCATGAGAAGAGATATTCCAGAAGCAAGCACATCCAACACATGTTAGAAGCTAATCTCAAACTGGACAAGCTTGAGGAGTTGGTGTTGTCATGGATCTAGGGGGCATAGAAGGGCAGGCCATGTGTGGGTGATTTGATGGAGGGGCCAGTTGGCACCCCTATTACTACAGACCCAAGTTTGAAGCAGTAACTGGAAATTACAAAGGATACTTTCTTCCTCCTGAGTGCAAGCCTGTGGAAATCTCTCAACGCTTAGCTGTTCTTGGGAAGGAACCTATCAGGGAGGAAAAAGGTTGGAAATTTCATTATCTTGGGTGGGATGGTACATTTGATGATCTTAACAATCAGTTTGCAAGGAAGAGTGCTCTTCCTAGGGACAACATGTTTCCAGACAAGAGGAAGGGTAAACTTGATATCTGCAACAAGCTACAACAGCAAGGGCTCAGAAAAGACAGGATTGAAAATGGAGATGCATTCTTTTTCTATCAGTTACTGCTACCAATTGCTCTAGATTCAACGGAAACTCAGAGGTATCAAATTTGACCAGAGAAGAAGCATGTGTATTACAAAAAGGTGATGAAGTATACTAATGTGTACATCTCTGATGCAAAAGAAGGGGAAGGACACCAAGTGAAACCTGTTACATTACCTGAAGCAGTACAGGTTGATGACACCCTTTTTATGCATGGTGATTGTGAAGGGGGTAGCAAAAACATCATGTTTACATGGGATTCCAAAGATCTTTCTTTCAAAGAGGATGTTGCAAACACTACAACTTGTACCAGGTGGTATGAAATTAAGAGGAACTTGAAGCTGTGCAAGAATGATGCTGAGAGGCCTTTTCATGGAGACCCCAACAATGGTGGCAATGTTGCTTACAAGTCTGATTTCATATACCAGACTATCATAAACAACACAAACTATTTCACTGAAAGGGCTGACTTGAACCTGTGTATTGACAAGACCAGCTGACCGTATCAAGGATTTTGTGGACCCTTTGTTAACTATCTCAAGGGAAAGATGATAAGCAGGAGGGGAGGACAGACTGTTCTAATGTCTGATGTTGATTGCATCTGGCCTAGAGCTTGGAAACATAGACATTGTGGATGGAAGCATGAGCATGAGAATGAGCAGATTGGACCTGTAGAAGTCCACAACCTTGCTGATACCTTTGTTTTCTGTAACAGAGGACCTGGGAAGATTTGAAAATCACCTCCTCATATCAATGCTGCCAATTTTTTCATATCAGATTCCAGCATCTTGGATTGGATTGGTGAGAAAGGTTTGGAGATGATTTGAACAGTCGCTAAGAACAGATTGCCTGCAAAGGTTCCTGAAAAGTATTTTTATAAGAAGAATGCCGCAGGTCATTCAAACGGAAAATGCAGAGCCAATACATCATGTTTTGCAAAGCCTACCTGCAGTGAAGATTGGTCTATAATCCCCCACATGACCACAATACTCTCTTTAGTATACTGTTGCTTTTTTGGTTGTTTTTTTATCAGCATTAGGTTATAAAAAGGATGCCATCAAACTGTACTGCTTCAGGTAATGTAACAGGTTTCACTTGGTGTCCTTCCCCTTCTTTTGCATCAGAGATGTACACATTAGTATATCACATGGCCTTGTTGTAACAAGAATGCTTCTTCTCTGGTTCAATTTGGTAGTGCTGAGCTTCTCCTGAATCTGGGGCAATAGGAAGCAGCAACTGATAGAAAAAGAATGAATCTCCATTTTCAATCTTGTCTTTTGTGAGCTTATGTTGCTGAAGCTTGAAGATATACAGCTTCCCCTTCCTCTCCTCTGGCAACATATTACTATCTCTAGTAGCAAACTTCCTTGCAAACTGATTGTTAAGATCATCAACTGTCCCATTCCACCCCAGGTAATGAAACTTCCACCCATTCTGCTCTCTAATAGGTTCTTTTCCAAGACCAGCTAAATGTTGAGGGATTTCCACAGACTTGGACTCAGAGGGAAGAAAGTACCTTTGTATTCCCCTGTACCTGTTCTATACTAGTAATAAGATGGCCATCCTTCTGGATTATGAACATCATTCCAGTCTTCAGGTTCTCCTTTGTCAACCTTTGGATCCTTCCTTTCATCATAGCAGCCTACTGGAACCTTTGGATAGATAAGACTGCCATCAACAATAGTTCCATTGTTCCAATAAAAGAACTCAGTATCATGAGGCTTGACCCCATTGTTCCAATTCCAAGCTGTTTGGCTCTGAGTCATTAGTATGCGTAAAATAACAATTGAACTTTCTTTAAAGAAGGGGTCTGGGACGTTAAATTCACATTCCAACTGTTAGTGTTAACATTCCAAATGTTATTTTAACATAAGGAACGTTATTATGTCAGTGTAGGACTACATAGATCCTAGTATTCCAATCATCATATTTCTTCAATGTGGTAGCGTGCTACCTACCCAAAACAATTATTTGGGTCTTGCACATACCTTAAAAATGAGAAAGAAGGATGTCCTTTCCTGCTGTTAACATTCCGACTGTTAAGCAGAGCATTCAGGAGGTCAAATTGAAACAAAAACTGCAGTACTTATTTCTACATAGCCTGTGGTGCTAACATTCAGAATATTAAATTAAAGTTCCGAGCCCCTTAATTAAAGAAAATTCAATTGTTATTTTTATGCATAGTACATTGAAGAACTCAGCTTGGTCAACCTCCTTGTGACTGATCCCAGAAGCATCTGAATCATAATTTGGCTGCTGAGTAGTGTTGCTGCTAATTAGTGTTGCGGATGAACTATTGATGCTGATAATGTTAGTGGAGGGGATCTGCTGTCGTCAATTTGTTGCAGGTGTTGACAGAGTTGACAGTGTTGATCTGTTGTCCTTGTTGTTGTCCTTGATAATTGGTGTCAATAGCTGATTAGTGCTGCTGATACTGTTGCTGGAGATACAGTACTGTTGCTGATGAGCGTTGCAGATGAGTGTTGCAGATGAGTGTTTTGAGTGATCCTGATTAGTGTGATTGGGGGGGGGGCAAATATATAATATATACTATATTTACCAGATGGAAATGGGCAGGGGGAATTACAAGCAGCAGTGGGGCATTGAAACAAATGAATCTTAAGAGGTTCATCTTTATGCTACTATAGGCTTGGCTAAGCAAAAAAACACAATCCAGTTGCACATTTTGAATCCTATATTTGTACATGAATATCAGTATATTCCACTACTAAGCCCCCCAACTCCCCCATATGACTAGAATCCTGTTTGAATTTGCTTTTGATTCATGTGCCTACCATACTTAAGCATCCATTGGGGACAAAGTTATAGCAGTTAGCTTGAGTTGAACCTCTCTTAATCTCTACATGTTTTTCTACTGTGTGTGGATTTTGGGCTATCTTTTCACCTTGTAATTTTGACTTGCACTAGGGGTACAGCGTGCACATGCAAGCAAAACTGTTTTGGTCCCACGACTGGTGGGATATAAAAATTCAACACTACTGAACACGTGCATATGTATGAATTTTGTTTTTTAGTCAAAGTAGTCAATAGCTACAAGCAAAAATAAGGGCCCAAAATCTACAACTGGATTGTAGATTTGCTAGGCAACTCTATAGTACAATGCTTATGCTGGTAAACTAGACCATATTGATGTGTACATCTATAGAGCAAAAAAGGTCACAAATCTTGGAAATACTACCATGCTGTGATTAATCATGCAAAGGCATTGGCCATTGCTACAGCATGATACAATATCTACAAAGAGTGCACTGATGGGAGCCTGGATGATGATTGGCAGGTAAGCAATGTGATGAGCTACTGTGAGTTCTGTCAGAGGCTCTCGTTGCAGATGATGAGATTCAATCCAGTTGAGCAGGTGTATAGCTATGATACTTGCCTTATACAGCACAAGCTAAGCCGTTTTACACAGTGGACCCACCCAATGAACAAGTGCATTGCCATTGCCACCTGCTGGTGCCTTGGAACCAGCAACCGTAAAGCTGCTGTATTCTTTAATGCAGGCATTAATTGCTGCTACAGATTCAACCACCACTCTGCACCCATCCCAACAAGTCTATCAGTCCTCCCCACTGCCTTCACCACTGACTTCCAGGTGCATCCCCTCCCTTCTCACCTCACCTTCAACCAGCTCCTAGTAGTATTCCCCAACTACATCAGGTGGTGCAGGGACATCAGCACCACCAACCTTGCCAATGACACCAACCTCGCCAACTGCCTTGTCAATCCAGCCTTCATGGAGATTTCCTGCCAAGCTATCACCTCAGGCAACTCCACTGTACTACATGGCATCCACCACCACACCACCGTGGCAATGTACTTCACCCCCTCCCACCTCTTGGCCATGGCCAAACACCACCAGGACCAGATCACAACCCAGAGTTATATCCAGCACGCCTACCACATTGGTGATGTCCTCAAACACCACCTCATGTCTCCAGCAGGCAATGTCATAGAAGTCATGCAGAGCAAAATTAGCAGCAAACTGTTCCCAACCTGTAAGCCAATATGAGCACTGCAGACAACTCCACATCCTTACCAGCTATGAAATCTGTTTCCAAGAAACCTTGGACCCAGAAGCTTCCAACGGCGATGCCAGCTCCAACAACACTGACAAGGGGAACTAGGACTGACATACCACATTCTCCAGTACCACAATTGGTCTACCACCAAACAAGTAGGTGTTTCAATGGAGACAAACCATTGCAAAACATTAATAGGTCAATAGTGTCAACATGCCAACCCTTGAATCCCAGACTGTTACACATTTTACATGTAGATCTAATCACATTTGCCCACTTAGACACCCCATGTCACAAAATGACACCCAACAAAAATGAACAAACAGCAAAGAAATGCCAAAAAATGACAACAACAAGACTGACGACTAACTACTAAATTCAGCAACCACCACCAACAGAAGACAAATTTAGGCAACGTAACCCCAGAAAAAGTACACTCCAACACCACGGCACCCCGGAAATAAACAAGGCAAAAATTTGCAGAACAACACCAACAATCAACCGCATCACATGCTCACAAGGTAAAATTTGTACAAACCAAATTCTCCCAAAGTTTACACACCGCCATCATGCCAGCCCTCATCCTTGCCCCTGTAGTTGGCAACGCCATTGTCACCATCCTAAAGGACACAGTCAAAATGTACTGCATGTCATTGATCTACACCCAGCCAACTGCAAGGTCCTCACGATCCTATGCCATGAAGCACTTGACCCCAATGACAGGAAGTGCCCACAAATCACTGGCCTCAACAGAACGGAACAGAACAAGCCCTAAACAAAAACTTAATCCCCTTCCTCAAACCCCATACAACTGCAAAAGCAAAAAACGAGAGACTCCTGGGACACATCCCATCCTCCCTGCTAGACCTCTATTGCACCAACCAACTACCCAATAACGGAAGACGGAAAGACAAGGCTACAATAACTCGGGCTAAGAGCAGTTAGGAGCAACTGCGCTTAGATTATGAAATTCGAAGTAGTAATAAATTTATTTTCTGATAAAGGATGCGATAGCTTTATCACCAATTGAACACATCCGTTCAAATATAGCATTCCCATTCACGGGAACGTCACAAAATCAAAAGCTGGAACTAGACATGGAGACAATCATTCTGGTCATATCGGGGACGGGACCTCAGCTGCAAGGTACGGCTACATTTCATGGAGCATTATGACAACGTGTTGCCTTTCTTCGATCGCAGAAGCACAAGCGCAAACACCAAGAGAGATTTGAAGGAAAGGATGAAGTCATCGTTCGATTGGTTCCATCTATTTTCGGAGCCGAATGTTATTGGTTCCCGTTTCGTTTGTTGTCTACACAAAAGAGCTCAGCTCGAGAGCAGATGTAGATTCGCTCATGTGAGCCAGTGCAAGCTGATTTTGTTGTAGACGAGCACGGAAAAAGTAATACATCAATCCCACGATCATAAAAATACCTCCAACTCCAACCGGCGACACTATCCCAATCCCTGACGAAGGTTGTGAACCTGTGTCTTGTGCCGACGATGGGGCAAACGTCCCTTGCTCTTCTAAGTCATTAATATAAAGGAAGTAAGCGAGCAACATTTCCGCAAAATCAAACGCCCCATGCAAAATGACTGCTGGTAAAAGAATCCGCCCCAAGGAAGATGAAGGATCTCCTAGAATGTCACGTTTTATAACACCAAGGGACTGGATTGCAGCACAAAGCGGGTGTAAGGCTAGAAGAGAACGCAAGAAAAGGGTCAATAGTTCATCTCCCACGTATTGCGATTGGAATACATATTGCATGTTTTCCTTGCATGCAAATCCTAATGAGGCGGATACCATCCCAATCGTGACGTAGTTGGCTTGGCTAATTTTTGATTTCTGTGTGTCGTAAATCTGCTCAGGCATTTCTATTGTCCAATAGCAATAGTACTTGACAACCTCCTCTACAAAGGCCGCCATGATAAATGCCCCAACAAACAGATATAGAGCATTTACTCCCCAGTAATCCTTCATCATCTTCGCAACATTCTTTCTATCCTCCAAATAAGTCGTGGGATCGGTCGCATTCTGTCCGACTTCGCTGACCACCTCCGAGGAAAGCTCAATCGTTGCAAAAACACCATAGGGAATGGACATGATGGTTTCAACCATGAAGGCCTGGAAAACTCCAATAACGTAACCAGACGCAAAGTACTTGATAACGGCATCGAAAGAGATATCGAATCGGTTCCACCTCCACCATACAAAGTACAAGACAATACAAGGCTGTATCCAAACGCCCAAGGCCACCCCAATCTTGATTCCGTAGTGCTCCTGTTGAGATAAAACGAAGAGAGAGCAAGATATCAATATGACATAAAATGCACAGCGTAGAATCCTTTTGGAGAGCTCCGACAAAGCCGACCAGTGTTTAGAAAACGATGCTTCCCTGGAATTTTGTATGGCGCGGATCGCTGGAAAGTACTCTGAATATGGCTGGAACGTGATGTAATCAATGTGAAGAGCCCCGGGATTGTCATTCTTTTTGAGAATAAGTTCGAGTTCCCTGTCTTCCTGTCCAATGGCACACATCCCGCAGCACTGGCACCAACACTGACACAAAGTGCCGCAGCAGAAATTGCTCCAGACCCGAAACAAGCACGTCGAAAGATCGGCGGACGATGGAATCATCAATTTACGGGCGACATCTATGTCATCTCCGACGGCATCCAACGAAACCTCCACATCGTAGGGATAACATGAGCAGCAGCCTACTGGTTGTTCAATGACCGCGATATCCATATCCGATAGCTGCTCTTCGAAATGTTTTTCTCCGCGTTGCTGGTCTCTCATTTTCCGGTGGACGGCTTGGCGGAGGGTTCCATGACTTTGCCTGCCCCAGCAGCACAAGAAAATAAGATAGGCCACAAAAATGGCTTGAAGGGAAAAAACGAGAAGACTATATAGTATAATGCATTCGTCGTCCCATACCTCGCATTCGATCTCCCCCATTGCCGAGGTAATGGCAATAGCAAACACAAGCAGCAGCGGTATTATCAGAACCGTGACCTGACGTTGCGTCCAGTTGGGACGATTCCCCGTTACCAGATAGTTTGTTCTATCATACAAGAATATCCCGCAACAAGTCAATGCGCAGCAATTGCTCTTCCGATTGGGATCATCGAGCAAAGCGCCCATGGAAGTCGACCATCCTCCACGGTACTCACGACGGCTGTTGGGATGGTGGTGTTGATGTCGCATCATCTTGTATTGGTGCTCTGTAGGTACAACGGAAATGGGTTGGTTGACTTTCGATTCAACACAATATCTTTTAGGATAGAGAATTTCCCTCCAATCGCTTGTTTCTGCTTGTCGAATCCTTTCATAGATTCTGCATGCGAGCAATACCGATAGCGAATGTGGTGTTTATTGTTTGAAGATAATATCTAAACTCAGAAATGACGGTCTCGGCATCTCTTCGTCGAGACAGTCATGCAACACAATGAATGATTCCGCTCACGAGTCTCTCCCTTTGCATCCGTTTGGAAAGTCGAAACCGCTAAACTGTCACAATTTCGATTCAATTATTATGTCGATCTGTTTGATTCTGATTCTTCTACGGTATGTATAGTAACTGTGGAGGAACTCGCGCAGCGCGTGTACCAAAATCGAACCAGAAAATGTACTCTGTTGAGGTCCGTGTTATTTGTGTGGGAAAAATTTTGTACTGTGCGCTCTCGAGCTAAAGCTCTCGAGCGCACAGTACAAAATTTTTCCCACACAAATAACACGGACCTCAACAGAGTACATTTTCTGGTACGATTTGGTACACCAGTAACATCACTGAGATCGAGAGCTTTAGCTCGAGATCGAAGTGAGGTTACTGCAAGTATTATCTTCAACACCAACAAGCTCGAGAGCTTTAGCTBGAGAGCTTGTTGTTGGTGTTGCTGAAGAAAGTACTTGTTGGGCTGAAGCAGAGGTCCTCCACAGTTATTTTACGTAATCGTTGAGTAGCTCAACATTTTCATGTACTCAGCGCTGCTGCCGAAGGCAGCAGGAGCCAGAAAATGAACTACAAGCACTTCCTCCGCAATATAGGGGATTGGGCTCTTTTCCCTCCCCGGTCCCTCCCTGGATC